CTGGGGAACAAATGATTGGAGTTGCTTACTCTGCAATTTTCCTGGTGTCACGCTGACATCGTTTTAAGTACTAAGCTTTGTGGTGGTTTGTTATGCAGCGTATTCGTTTACTGTGGCTGCTGTAACAAATAACAACGAACTTTGCGGCCTAAAACAACACACATTTATTCTCTCACAGTTTTGGAGGCGAGAAGTCTGAACTCAGTTTCATTGGGCTGAAATCAGGTGTTAGGAGGGCTCTACTCCCCCTGGGGGCTCTTGGGGAGACTCTGCCCCTTGCTTCTTCCAACTTCCCATGGCTGCCGGCTTTCCTTGGCATGTGGCCACAGTGCTCCATTTCTGCTTCTGGGGTCACATCACCTCCTCCTATTATTATCTAATCTCCCTCTGTCTCTCCCATAGGACACATGTGATGGCATTTAGCCCCCCCCCCCCCGATAATCAAGGATAATCTCATCTCAAGATCCTCAATTTAATCACATCTACAAAGACCCTTTTCCAAATAAGTTAATGTGTGCAAATTCCAGGGATTAGGATTTGGATATCTGGTGGGGGAGGGGAGCATTTTTGCAGCCTTCTGCATGCAGCAGTAGATAAGGGGAACATGTGGTTTGAGAGAACACATCAAACTACAGAGAGAAAAGTGAGGGTCCTGGCACTCTTGAGCCCCTGACTCCAGCTGCCCATCACCATCCCACCAAATAGTAAGACAGTAAGTCTTCTTTTCTCCTGGTACCAGTTTAAATTTCTCCCTCTTGAAAGTAGAGAGCCCTCATACCAAAAAAAAAAGAAAAAGAAAAAATCAATTCTAACGTTAACTGAAATTTCACGCCTTTATATTTTATCCCAAATAAACTAATATTCCTTGGGGGTGGGTTAGCTATCTTTTACACTTTTTTTTTTTTTTTTTTTAGTCCACCGTGGTATGGTAAACCTGGCAAAAATTCAATAAATACTTGGTCTTGTGAAAGGGTACCACGATGTGCTGGCCCAGAGCCGGGTTCTGCTCGGAAGTTGTGGGGTTGCAGACAAAACAAGGTGCTTTGCAGCCAGAATCGTCTGTGGGCAGAGAAAGGAGTGCTCAACACACTCGCTCAGGTTACAGAATGTGCCTTTTGCTCTGGCCAGTTTGGCTCAGCGGTTGAGCGTTGGCCTGCGGACCAGAGATTCCCGGGTTCCGTGAGTTCCCGCTAGGGGCACATACCACCAAAAAAAAAAAAAGAAAAAAAAGAAAAAAGTTTCTTTTACTTTCTACTTTTCTATCAGACATCTATAGGTGAGCACAGAGTGGTCAAGCCAGGTTCATCGACCCCCTGTGGACACACCTGCCCTGAAACCATCAGGCCTCTTGTCACGGGCTGTGGCAGCCCACAGGTCCATATGCAGAAGCCTCAGCTCCCGGTATCTCAGAACGTGACTGCATTTGGAGATGGGATCTTAAAGGAGTTATTAAGTTAAAACGAGGTCACAAGGGTGAGCCTTCATCCAATATAACTGGTGTCCTTATAAGAGGAGGTCAGGACACAGACAAATACAGAGAGGAGACCATGTGAAACACAGGAGAAGACAGCCGTCTACACGCCAAGGACAGAGCCTCAGAAGGAACCAACCCTGCTGATCTCCAACTTCCAGCCTCCAGAACTGTAAGGAAATGAATTTCTGTTGTTTGAGCCGCCCAGCGCATGGTGCCTGGTTACGGCAGCCCGAGTGACTAACGTGCCCCTCCTGGTAAGAGAAATCAACTGTTTGTACCAACGATAGATAGTTGGGACCTCAAATGATTATGGTTGGAAGATTCGATCCTGTTGAGGCTTTTGCTCCTGATCACAGACACACCCTTCCAGTTCCGTCATCTATTCCTCAATCTGTGGAAAGAGAAATCCTTGGGAACGTTTAAGAAAGCAAATGAAATTGGTGGTATTTCTAAAGTCCTGAGTGCCTTCCCAGAAAAGGTGATCATTCCACCCCCGTGAGCTGGCCCCAGACGACCTAAGTCACTGCTCTGTCCTGCATGGCCACCTGCAGGGCGGCTGGGCTCCTTCCCTCAGGTGGGCTCGCTCTCCTGGGGTCCCGGCCACTCAGCCACAACGAGAGGGCGCAGGAACGCACAAACCCGTGAGAACAGCTTCCGAATCAGTCTTCCGTGCACCAGAGGGCCTTCCTGCTCACCGCCCCGCCCTACCAGCCGGAGTGTGCCGCCGGAGAACCTGGCCACTCGCAGTGCACAGGCAGATACACGGAGAGCAGGACGCCACGTCCACCACGGGCTCGGCTACCTGCTGACCTCATCAGGAGGTGCATCTGAACTCCAACTATGCCCCGAGTTAGGGAGCAGGGGAGGAGAAAGAGGATGTCTGTCCTCGCCTAGGTGCCTGGTAGTCAGCAGCACATCTAACCCTGGAGCTGCCAGGTGTCCTCAGGAACAAGGCCCCCGACAGCACCCCGCACGATCCCCGCGTAACAGACCCATTTCCTCACAGCCATGGAAGGAACGCAGGGGAACTGACAGGGGAACACGCTGTGACATGGTCAAGGGGGGACATCCACTCAGCTATGCTCGTGCCTCCAACGCTCCAGGAGATTGAATCAGTCCTTGACCTTAATACCAAGATGGAGCTGAGGGGCACCCCGCTGGGAACACCAAGGCAAGGTGCCACTCCGAAGCCACGTTTTGTGCTACAGACCAAAGGGACGTATGTCACATGCAGATAAACATCTGAGCCCGTTCGCCAAGCTCCAGTCTGCGGTAGGGGACACCCCACCCTTGGCACTCTTTCCACAATGCTCGTTTGTATGTATCACTCATCTCCCAACTGTTCACTTTTTACCTCAAATAAGAGGAGGCAGACACAACTTTTATAAGAATAACGCCAAAGATTAAGATTGAATAGTACACACCCAGCCAGTGGGACTCAGTGGTTGAGCGTCCATCCATGCACCAGGAGGTCGCCGGTTTGATTCCCGGTCAGGGCACACGCCCAGGTTGTGGGTCAGATCCCCAGTGGGGGGCATGCAGGAGGCGACCAATCAATGTTCTCTCTCGTCGATGTTTCTATCTCTCCCTCTCCCTCTCTCTTTCTAAAAAAAAAAAAATCAATAAAGAAAAAAAATAAAATGAGTAAATAGTACAAGTGCTAATTTCCTAATACCCTACTTTTCAAGTGAAAGTGCCATCCATTCCCTCGGTGCACCTCAGTGCAGAGCCTTCATCCCTTCTTCTTCTGGTCGTTACATAAGCAAGAGTTTCCAGAATCCAGGAACTTCCTAGGTAGGTTCTGCCCCCAAGCCTCCTACAAAACTCAGGTTCCACACTGGGATACCAGGTGCTTTGGACCGAGTGAGAACAGAAGGCAAAGCAGGTGGATGGCCAGACCTCGTGGCAAAGAAAATGAATCTGTGTAATAGTGGAAAACTTTAAAACTAAGTTTAATTGTCTTTCAGCAGGTGCACCGTGGTCCAGGAATGGCTCATTTACTCTCTGTCTGTAGCTGTGCCAGGGCTGAGGGGGCACTTCTCCTGCCTGACTCGAATTTCTCTCACACCTCATCCTCCACCTAGCACCATCCGAACAAGACAGCTATAGAAAGAGTGGGAGAGTCAAAGAGTTCCACCTCCATTCCCACTCTCCCTCACCTTCCGCACACCCTGTCACTTTTCAAACCTCACCTCAGTGGGACATGTAATGAGAACACCAGACAGCATTGGGTCTGGGTATTTCTTAGAAGAGGATCTGCAACCTCCTCTTGGAAATCACTCACCCCCTTCAGTAGGGCCCCCACTGCAATGGTCTGTGAAGTATTCCTGGGGAATAGCAGAGTAGGGCTAACCCCAAGGCTAACCAGCTTCCAGAATAAGACTTAGTCTACATCCCATGTCTAGACCAATCTTGGGTGGGACAAACTTGGTTATCACAGGAATAGCTATTAAGGTCACAGTGTCTGGGGGAAACTGAAAGTTATTTTATGCTCTCTCTGTTCCCCTCATCCAGCAGAAATGGGAGTGAAATCTCACCATCAGCATCCAAAGTCCTAAGATTCTTCCCCAGCCAACCACACCTGAAATCCTTCCTTTGACCCAGTCTACCCTGTGCCTGTCCACCCTCATCTGTGTCCGCTCCGACTCCTATTTTGGTCCCTCACTATAACTGGTTTTTCTGCCTTCTCACCAACTTTTCCACATTCGAGTCTCGTGTTGTTAATTCTCCTTTCTAGCTTCGATGTTTGGGGCCATTTCATGGAAATGACAGATTTGCCCCTGCAGCACAGCCGGGCACTTGCAAACTCCCCCCATTCCCTGCCTCTGGTCCGGAGGGTCTGAGAGCTCAGTGAGGGATATATTACAGCATCATCAGGCCAGAGGCTCGCCTGCCTTGCCTTTCTATCCTTGCCACATTGCCTAGTGCAAAATAGGAGTTCAACAAATATGCTTTGGTGAATATATCACACCTTAGGCAGGCAGGTGATAACTTAAAATAACTTTTATTGTTCGAGTGCTCATGTTTCCAAACAATCAATAAAGTTACACTTATAACCCAAAGGATTAATGCTCAGAAAATGTTTTGGTTTTTTTTGGTTTTTTTAATCCTCACCCAGGGACATTTTTCCATTTTTGGTTCAGATAGAGTGGGAGGGAGAGAGAGAGAGAGAGAGAAAAACATTGATGTGAAAGGGACACATCGAGTGGTTGCCACCCGCACAACCCAGCCAGGGCCGGGGACAAACTGCAACCGAGGTACGTGCCCTTAGCGGGAACCAAACCCGAGTCTCTCTGGACCGTAGGCCGACGCTCTAACCGCTGAGCCAAACCGGCCAGGGCTCATAAAATGTTTTGAAATCCAAAATATAATAGTGCTGTAACCTAACCCACTGCCACCGAGAGATGATCAGGGAGGTGACTGCACTGTCCCTCTGTGGCAGAAGAAAGGTCTGAGCAAGGAGGGAGGGAGAAAGGGGACATAATGGGGAAAAGAAGAAACATTCCATAAAGAAAGTCAGACTCACCCTTATCATAATCATCATCCTCAACCGCTTTTTCTTGAAGTTTCTGAAGCTTTATTCTTAAGGAGTTTACCTGTGTTGTTTTGGAGGGGAAAAAATGAAAAGCAAATTACAATAGCATTCAAGCAAACTTATTCTTGTAAAGCTAAACGCATTCAGAAACTATTTCACAACTGAACTTCTTTATTCTCCTTTAAAAAGGAACCATAAATGTACATTTTGCCAATGCCAGATGAATTCGTTGCACACACACACACACACACACACACAGTTATATAAAGGGAAAGTGTAATTTGAGCATAAAAGCCACAGAGTTAAAATGTTATTTTAAACAACAACAAAAAAATCACACTGCACCCTTATCTACATGAAAAATGTATGATAAAAAGGAATACAAATGTCCTGACCTGACCTAACAGTCTCTGTTCTAAAAAAGCAGATTAAAATGAGGCGGGAAACACACCACAGCTGGAAGAGACGCCCAGAGAGCGTGGACTTGGACGCACCGCGGTGCTGCAGGCTGGCCGGCAGGGACAGCTAGGACCTCAGAGAGCCCTGCAGGGCGTCCTAAGACTCACAGGCATCCCATTAGAGAAAAGGGCATGGTCGCATTTAACCCGCATGGACTCAGTGATCCCATCAGTTGTCAGAGAATTACCAATAGTTCACGTGTAATTGTTTTCCTTCTCAACAGGAGGCCCGGAGACTTTTTTTGGAGATAGACTATTGGCCTATCAATGAACGGATTGGGGTTGGTTCCCTGAAAAACACCGTCTTCCCATCCTTTGCCCCGCGCACACTACATCTCAACACCTAGTTCAGGTGTGCCCCTCCAGCCCGCGGTGCATGTCCCTCTGTACTGCCACTGTGACCTGCGCTGGCCTCTGTGCAAAGACTCTGCTTAACAAATATTTACTGGGTGTCTCTCGGGTGTCAAGCACTGTTTGAGGTGCTGAGATACAGCACAAAATTCTCAGCCCTCCAGACTTAGATTCTCGTGTAGGACGACAAAACAACAAAGATAATTAGTAAGTTTCATGGAGCCTTAAAAAGTGATTCGTGCTATAAAAGAAGAAATATGTAGCCCCAAGGGGATCAGGAATGGTGGTAGACAGTGGGGCCGCGATTTTAAACAAGATCTCACTGAGAAGGTGACATTTGAGCAAGATTTAAACATGGAAAGGGAGCAAACCTTGAGGCTCTCCAGCAGAGCAAAGCCGGGGCACAGGCTCTGGGCAGAGCGGTCCTGGCACTGCCGGCTAAGAGCAGGAAGGCCCTGGGCCTCCCGGGGAGTGACTGACGGGGACAGTGTTGGGGGTGAGATAGGGAGGCGGTGAGAAATGCATCTGAAGAGACGTGAAGACCATTCAAACTTCTGACTTTACTCTGAGCGTCCCTGGGGGCTGACTTATGTTTGAACAACTTCCTTCTGGCTGCTGTGGTCAAGGGCAAAGGAGGGAGGGAGGAGGCCATGGGAATAACCCAGGAAGGAGGTGACGGAAGCTGACAATACAGCGGGAGCAGAGAAGTCGGTGAGAAGTGACCTGTTTCTGGTTATATTCAGAAAATGGCTGGTTGGTCTGGCTGGTGTGCTCAGTGGTTGAACGTCGTCCCTGCACCAAGAGGTCACTGGTTCGATTCCCGGTCAGGGCACGTGCCCAGGTTGTGGACCCGATCCCAGTTGGAGGGCATATAGGAGGCGGCCAGTCTATGTTCTCTCTCATCGATGTTTCTATCTCTTTCTCCCTCTCACTTCCTTTCTCTCTAAAATATCAATAAAGGGCCCTGGCCGGTTTGGCTCAGCGGTTAGAGCGTTGGCCTGCGGTCCACAGAGACCGGGTTCGGTTTCCGCTAAGGGCACGTACCTCGGTTGCAGTTTGTCCCCGGCCCTGGTTGGGTCATGTGGGTGGCAGCCACTCGATGTGTCCCTTTCACATCGATGCTTCTCTTGCTCTCTCTTTCTCTCCTACTCTATCTGAATAAAATGTGGGAAAATGTCCTCGGGTGAGGATTAAAAAAAAAATCAATAAAGGAAATAAAGAGTAAAAAAAGAAAGAAAGAAAATGGCTGGTTGAAGATAAAACCAACAGGATTTGCTAATTGATCACGTGGGAGTGAGAACGAGGCAGGAAGATGCCAGGTTTTTGGTGCCCTTGAGCATCTGGAGGGCAAGAACTATTTCTGTATCCACGCAGAAAAGGCAGCGCTCACGGTGACCTGGTTCTCCACTGCTCTGGACACACGGAGGGACTCACTCCCTTCCTGGGTCTGGTCAATGAGTGTGAGTGGAAGGGACAGAGGCCCCTTCTGCACTGAAGCATTTAATTGCTCTTATAGTACGCTTCGTGTTCTCCACCTTGGCTCAGTGACTGAGGGGCCATATGATCAGAGGGTGCAGGCTGGGTCTTGAGTGACTCGAGGGAGCAGAGCCCCCAACCACCTCTGCGGAACACGAAGCATAAGCAAGAAGCATGCTTCTGTGATGTTAAGCCTCTGATACTGTGTTGCTGTCTGTTACTAACCCACTCTGACTAACAATCTCCAAAGGCAGGCACAAGGTGTAGCAGTTGTCAGCACGTACATTCTAAATGAATGAAAGAATGATCACGTTGAGCCTTTGCCCTTGAAGCGCTCACATGACAAGTGCAAACCCTACCAGCCCCTCCGTCCTATATGTTAGTTGGAGGACAGGCCACGTTGGCCACACCTCATCCAAGTGACAGCATCACTGAACACTTGCCAGAGCTGGGACAAAAGAACCACAGGAAAGAAAAGCCAAAGAACATTTCATTTACAGCCAATGCCCACCTCACCTTCCCCCTCTCATCCAACTCTCTCTGTCGGACCTGAATTGATGCCCTGGGAAGCACAGCCACCGGCGGGCATGGCTTACCCAGTGACACAGCCCGTGGGAGGCAGCAGTTTCTCGCCTCTCCTCCAGCTGCCACAGCCCGAGGGGGCCCAACCTGCAGGGCACTGCCCACTTCCTCCTCCGCACACCCAGGTAGCATCCCCTTTCACTGCCGTTTTCTCAGCCCCACCCAAGCCCTGGCGGGGTCCCTGCGTGGCCATTTTTCAATCACATAAAATCACATATAAGTGACTCTCACTGGTAGTAGTTATGTTCCATAAAGTCACCAGGAACACTCGACTAGCAAATACCGAACCATCGCTTCCAGGGGGACGTGCAGGGTTAGGCTCCCGAGAGCCTGGAGTCACAACATTTCTGTCAACCGATCATATAGAGTACATCACTGTGTTTTATGCATGTTTCAGATTAAAGTTGTTTTATGGAACATACACAGCTGATTCACCAACACCACTCGCACGGCGACACGACGAGGCACACCTGGACACAGCCCCTCGTGTTTCCCCCACAGGGCACAGCACAGCCACTGTGACTTAGGGGCACTGTAAACAGCGGAGTCACCAACAAAACACACACAGCATATGAAAACACGGCACTAAGAGACCACAAAAAGGACCCCTGTTTACGGGATGAGAGCTGAAACAAGCCCGCAGAAGGTCACCTTTGAGACCTCGGCTGGGAGCGTGCACGCTGGGGAGACAGCATCAGGTCCCAAATTTTCAGCCATCTGGGCATGTCCACAGTGACCAGAAAAGCCTTCTGAGACAGACTTTGGAGTTACCATAAATTGTATCAAGTAAGCGAATTCGCAAATATAGAAACCGCGAACACTGAGGACTATTTTAAAAGATGCTAAAACTCAAATTCCTGAGATTTGCATTTTTACTTAAGGAGAAGGGAGAGGGGGTTAAGTAATATTCTAATATTCTAAAGAGTTAGAATATAATATCTAAAAGGCCCCCACACAGTAGAATCCCAGTAGATCCTTTTTCAAAGGATCCTTAGCCAACCCCTTTCCCCCCATCATGAAGGCCTCCCCAGGGGCCCAAATCAGCAACCTGGGGCCTCAGTGCCAACTAGTAAAAGCAGCACCTCCCAAGTGACTCCCCTCGCCATGGTCAGCTCCAGCTGCCAGAGGCTTCTTCCTCCTACAAGATCTATGCTCTGGACTGAGTTCTCCCATTACCCCATCACACTGAAGAAACTTCATTCCTCTTCATGCAACAGACATCAAATCATTGAAAATGTACCATGTTTTCCCTTGTCCAGGTATTCCATTATCACAAGCAAAGATACTTAAACTACAGATAAATTGTGTCCCGATCCCATCAAGTGGCATTCGACTGGCGTCTGAGTATGGGTTGGGCTGGGGGGAGGGGTGGTCTTGTGAGACCTTAGCCTGTGGGACCTGATGCTATCTCCAGGTGAACAGTGTCAGAACTGAATTAAGGTACAGGATGCCCAGGTGGTTCTGGGGAACTGCTGGTGTGGGGAACCCTGCCCCCACTTGTAACTGGTGACCGGACCCCCTTTAGTGCCTTTGTGCTTTGTGTGGCTGCCTTTCAGATTCTCTTCTTGTGCCTTAGTCAGTCAACCCCAAAAATCTGCCTGGTAGAATCTGTGGCCCATCTTATCAAGATGATCTACTTCATTGAAAACCGAATGAAGCCAGAGCCTGCTGAGGGCCAGGAAGCATGTGAGGCAACAAACCCAAAACCGTCTCAGGAGGTGGCCTGCAGGTCCGGAGCTCGTGGTCAAGTGCGAAACTTGGACCCACAAACAGAGTATTACTGGGTGTGGTGAGTGCGGTGATGGGGCACGTCCGACGTGCTTTGGGAACAAAATGGAAGGAGGGAGTCGTTTGGTCTGGAGCGGGGAGGAAATGTCGCACAAGGAAGCGGCTTTGGAGCCACACCAGACGGGACACATAGGAGCTTGGCAGGTGGGAAAGTGCAGGAAGGAAATTCCAGGCGGAGGGAAAACTGCGAGCAAAGGTCTGAGGCACAGCTGTCCCTGGAGTTTTTCGAACAGGAAGCAGCACCAGATGGGTGGCAGGAGGAAGGCCCCCGGGGCAGGCTGCGGGGCTGGGAAAGGCCTCCACTGTCAGATAAGGAACCCGTTCGCTATCCCGCTATCCCGCTATCCCGAGGAGCAACGAGCCACCGAAGGTTTTAAACCAAGGATAACACTGACCCACCACTGCGTGGGAAGATACCTCTGCTGGTCATGCAGAGGATGAACTGGAGGAAGGTAATAGTCAAGAATCTCTTGCAAAACCCAGGTGAAAGATAACAGGAGACTGAACCAGGGCCGTGGCCGTGGCCATGGCGAGGCCACGGGAGGTGCGGGAGCTGTAGGACTAAGAGGGCTTGGAGACGGACGCCATGTGGGGAGGGGTGAAGACAGCTACAGTTTCTCTAAGAAGCTGGATGGATGGAGTCTATTATTTCAAATCAACAAATATTTATTGAGGGGGGCCCTTTAAAACAGGTGCGGTGGGAAAGGCAATGACGTCCGTTTTGGACTCATCTAACTCAAGGATTCCACACATTACCTGGGGACAGAGACCTGCATGTCTGGCCTGGCTTTGCTCTCTCCCTGGGTTATAAACCAGAAGGCTGGGCTGAGGTCCCCGAGGGCCAGAGCATCAGGCCACAGGTAAAGAATTGAAAGTAAATGAGGTACTTCCACCAAATACCTGATGAGTGGGTGCCCTACTTCCCTGCTCACGTGTACATATGCACACACACGCACACACACGCACACACAGACGTATGCATACAGCACAGTCTTGCTAGGGTAAGCCACACAGCCCAGGGGTCAGCCACCAGCACCTCTGCCTGGGTTTCCCTGGGACTCCGGGTGGGAGCACCCTGCCTGCTGGCAGCGGCTCTCAGGCACCTGGGTGGACAGCACCAGCGCGGTCACGACGCGGGGCCTCGCAGCACGCACTCTCACCACAGAACGATCCTGTGCAGTGCTGTCATCTTTCCTAAGGGACCTGAGGGCCCGAGGGGTCTGGTGACCGGAAACAACCCTGGCAGGGGTTCCCTGCAGGAGGCCGGGGCCCAGCACAGGCCCCGCACCGCCAGCTCCGGCCCTTCCGCCTGTTTCCCGGTTCCAAGCAGAGCCGGCTGCACTAACCAGGCACCTAGGCCGGAACAGCGGGGGAGCCCGCAGCCCAAAGGGGAGCAAATCTGAGCATCTAAATGACAGGGCAGATGAAGGGAGAACAGACTGTGCTCAAACGGGAGGAGGAGAAGCCGAAGCGCAGCAACGTCCTCCTGCAGCCGGCCACCGAGGGGCTGCTGAGCTCGGGGGAAGTCGGTCAACCCCAGAACCACTGTCTCCTGCCCTCCGCCCAGAGCTAATCTGAGCCTGGGGCACTGGGGGGCCCAGAGGTGGGGGAGACACCGACCTCCAGCTGCCTGCGGTTGCTGAGCAGACAGTCCTGCAGCAGGGGCTCACATTTCCTGAGCAGCAGGTCCCAGTGGAGCGCAGCCCCCTCGAACCTTGAGGGGTCCGAGGAGCAGGAGGAGGCAGCGTCTGTGTCCAACCCGGAAAGCGGCTCACACTCCAGCCCGGGGCTGGCCCCTGCGGTCTGGGCAGAGTCGGCAGGGCCCTGAGCGGCCTGGAGACTGAAGGAGGTAGAGAAAAGTCTGGGGTCCTGGAGGGGCCTGTCCAAGCCGGCAGCTTTGGCCTCCATGGCCTCCGGCTCTCTGGATGGCGGGCAGCCTTCGGCTTCTCCACGTTCCCCGGCAGAGCTGAGTGAGAGCTGGATGAAGCTGAAGCTGGAGGTAACGGCCTCCTGAGAGCTGGCAGGGGCGGAGGGGACCTTGGGGCCACTTCCAGGGCTGCAGCTGGTGCCGCTCACCTCCTCTGGGGCCAGACAGCGCTTCGTCCAGGTGGCCTTGGCTCCTTCAGTGCAGGTGGCCTCCTGCCGAGGGCCCGGGGCCTCCGAACTGTCCATGGGTGGGAGCTCCCCCTGACACCCAGTGTCCCCAGGGCTGCACCACCTGGTCAGCCTGTTGGGCGGTTTGCTGCCAGCTCTGAACTGAACCCCACAGAACCCCGAGGTCCCTCTGGCCGAGGTCAGAGCTGAGCCTAGGTGGCCCACACAGGTTAGAGCCGAGGCTGCCGTGCTCCTGGGAGGAGGGCTGCCAACCGAGGGGCCTCGCCACTGGCCTCCGGGGTCAAGGCCACGCTGTCCAGCCCTGGACCCAGAGTGGCGGGACTCGGCACCACATGCCCCTCCCTGGGCCCAGAACGAAGTGCCCACAGCGGGGGAGGGGAACCTGATCTCGGGCCCGGCTTCGCTTCTCATGTAGCCGGGTTTCCGTGCCAGCCGCCTCCTCCGAAAAGACACTGCAGGTGGCAAGCAATCCTGGCTGCCTGGGAAGGAAGAAAACAGCACATTAAACACTCAGATCTCACGGGCTCAGCGGGAACTGTGTCTGGAGAACATCCCTAGGTTTAGAGGTCATCTCTGGGCGCATCGGAGATGCTGGCTCAGGAGTCAGGGGTCACCCCAGTACAGAAACTTGGATGATGCCTGGGAAGCAGTAGAAACAGCACAGCGCTCAGCTCTGTTCAGCCGAGCAGCTGGCGCTGCCGTGAGTCATGCCAACACGTCAGCTTGCACACGGGAGCCACAACCTTGGTAGGTCCTCGGGACCCTGCAGCATCTTGCCCGTTGGTCTTTCAGGCACATCAGCACTTTCAGCCGGCGTCAGCCCAGAAAGCAAATGGCTGGAGACCAAACGCCAGCACACTCCTCGGAACGAGAGCCAACCACTCACCCAGCTACTCGGTGAACAATACGGGAGTGTTCGCTGCCTGAGCCGGCCACGTCCGTGCGTGCCAGGGGACCATGGACAGCTGGCGGGGACACGGGTTATGCCCATCAGTTCATCTCACACTGTAGACGACAGGAGGGCTGCTTGAGGCATCCCCCTCCCGGGTGTGCAACAGGAATAGAAACAATAAAAAAGGCTCACACCTCACAGAAGCAGGATGGTATAGTGCCCTGGCAGTGCCATTGCTGGCTGTGTGACCTTCCACAAGCCACTTAACCTCTCTGTGCCTCAGTTTGCTTACCAGTAAAATGGAGATAGTAACAGTACCTCTCTCATAGGGTGGTTGTGAGCATTAAATTAAATGAAGTACTATACATTGATGGAGTGCCTGGCACATGTAATAAGTGTGATAAAAATGCTGGTTATTCTTTTTACATTGCATAGCCATGTTACTCACAACATGTTTTCATCCACATGTATTTATTTTGGTCCCCACCGAAATCATGTGAATCAACCAGACCAGGAAAATAACTTCCCTTTTATAGTTAAGGGAACTGAGGCTCAGAGAAACTGACATTCAGAAACACCTGCGCCTGGCCAAGGGACAAGTGCCCAAGTCTCCCGAGTGCACTGGTCCCGGGGCACGCTCCCCGTGGGCCCTGCCGCACCTCCAATCGGACGGGATGGAAGGCGTAAGACTAGGCAGGCCAAGAAGTGGGACAAAGCTTTGCTCCAGGCCCACACACCTTGCTCTGCCTCCCGGAGCACCGCTGCTCCCAGGACCTTTGTCATGGTAACCAGAGCGCTAGGCATTTAGGATCCCACTGGGTTACCATCATGGCACACACCAGTCTCTGTGGAATGCGTGTCACTGATAATCCCTGCGGGAATGAGCACCATGACCCATGGGTCACCTATTCCCTCATTCTGAGCATCTGAAGACGAGAGTCTAAGACATGTTCACCCAACTGAGCATGTTCTTGCCGACTGAGCATGCCAACTGCAGCGATGCCAGGAAGGGCTAATGCCACTAGTGCACAGAGTTCCAGCAGCGAAGGATGGAATGAAGGATGGGCTACAAGGAGGCAGAAGAGGAAGTCAGGGTGAAGGGAGGGATGGAGGCATTCACACTACAACCCCAGGAGCTGGTACCATTTTCATTTTTTAAATAATAAAATTAAAGTTCAGAAGGTTTTAATTTTCCCCAGAACTCCCAGGTCATAGATGGCCAAAACATGTTTTGCTCGTCACTGAACAGTGAACCAGCACAATACCCTGCATTTAAGTTGCTTGATAAATGGTGAATGAATGCATGGAAGCTTGGGTGAATGATGGAAAGATGCCTGGATGGATGGATGGATGGACGGATGGATGGATGGATGGGTGGATGGGTGGATGGGTGGATGGTGGATGGGCGGATGGGCAGATGGGTGGATGGGTGGATGGGTGAGTGGATGGGTGGATGGGTGGATGGGTGGATGGGTGGGTGGATGAGTAGATGGGTGGATGGGTGGATGGGTGGAAGGGAAGGAGGGAGGGAGAAAGGAAGGACAACTGAGGCCTGTCTGATTCCAAATCACCTACTCTTTCTATAGCCTTTGCCTCCAAGTATATCACTTAGGAAATAACTTGAAGTGACAAGAAGTGAGAAGAAAGTTTTATTTTTATTTTTTCTTCAGGACAGAGGCCACAAAGAGCTCGAATCAGTAGAAAAGGACATGATGAACATGTACAGAAGGAATCATTAATAGGCCAAATTGGACCACCCATTAGGATGGCTACTATCAAAACAAAACAAAACAAAAAATGGTCCATCCCTGCCTCGTGGGTGTGTTTAAAATCCAAGCCTTAAAGAGGAAGGACATTCTGACACCTGCTGCAACGTGGACCTTAGGCTAAATATATTAAGCCAAATGCTGTATGATTCCACTCGTATGAGTTCCCTAGAGGAGTCCGATGCACAGAGACACAAACCTAGTAGAGGGTGGTTGCCGGGGTGATGGGTCATGGGTACGGAGTGCAGTTTGGGGAGACGAGGCCCTGCAGACGGACGTGGCGATGGCTGCACAGCAGTGTGAATGTGCTCACTGTCTCTGAGCTGTCCACTTAGACATGGTGAAGACATGGTCAAGTCTATGTTATATGTATTTTACCACAGTTAAAACTTTTAAAAATTTTAAGAGACCAAACTGGGTCACCACGTTCTCCACCGTTTCCCTCGGAGGTTACTGTCTGAGGATGTCCCCTGTATGGTAGATCCTGGCCACAGGACAGTCTACACAGGGCAGGGGCTCAGGGGGGGGGAGGGGACCAGTCCAAGGACTAACTCTCATTTGCCCTGTAAAACTGGCAAAATAATTTTAAAGAACAATAATCCAAAAGGAAGTAGAAAGAATATTCAATTCTGACTTCTATTACCAAAGGAAAATAATCAGCAATATTGCATCCTGAGAAAGGGGTCCTGTGAAATCTACATTATCTTTTGGCTTAAAAAGACTTTAATTAACTATTTTTTAAAGCAAGTGCCAGTTGTTCAAATAAACCTTCCAGAGCTGAGAGAGCAATGCTAAGTGGAAAATGCCTGGGGGTGGGGGGAGCACTTGGGCCTGAGCACCTCTTCCAAAGTCCGTCGATCAAGGGTTCTGAACACCCCGCGCTGGGTTCCAGCTGCTGCCTGAGGCCGTCTCCATGGACCATGTTCTTCCCCGGGTTCGGATAAGATGCCTCCAGGCGGGAGCTGCATGAGAGGGCTCCGCTCCGCACCCACTTGGGGCTCAGACCTCCTGCACCCTGGCGTGGGCCTCCCCAGACGGTGGCCTGAGAAGCAGAGATGCCCCCACTCTCAGTCCTGACCCCCAGGGGAGGGCAGAGGGGCTCACAGAGCCAGATCTGGAGGGCACTTCCGGAATGAGCTAGAAGGATTAGATGAAACCCATGTTGGACAGACGGCCACTCTGAAACCTCTAGGAAGGACCCCTTTTTTCATTTTTTTTTCATTTTTATTTTTTGACGAAGTTTATGATGTCCCCTCTGACCAGAATCAATGCTCACTTATATATCCTGCCTGAAACCCTGACTCGTGGGCGTGTTTAAAATCCAAGTCCTGCCAGGGCCCCTGCAGTTAAGAAAGGGTTTGAGCCCTGGCCGGTTTTTTTTGGTACCAAAAAAAAAAGGGGGTTTGATCAGCCAGACTTTGAGAAGATCCCCTCCTGTCACCTAAGGCTCAGGGCAGGAAGTAGATGGTGGCAAAGCCGGGGAGCCAGCTGTGCCCTCTGTTCTCTGTGGTTCTCTCTGCCCATCTGGCCCCAGAACGTCTGCCCAGAGAGAGACCCTCTGGTGGTGTTCTCTCCCCACCACAGCCTCCTCCACCACGGCCCCCCTCCACCACGCCTCCCCATCCACCACGGCCCCACCACGGCCCCCCCTCCACCACGGCCCCCCCTCCACCACGGCCCCCCTCCACCACGGCCCCCCCTCCACCACGGCCCCCCTCCACCACGGCCCCCCCTCCACCACGGCCCCCCTCCACCACGGCCCCCCACCACAGCCCCCTCCACCACGGCCCCCCCTCCACACCTCCCTCTCACAACACCCCCACCACGGCCCCTCCATAGCCCCCCCTCCACCATGGCCCCCCTCCACCATGGCCCCCCTCCACCACGGCCCCCCACCACCACGGCCCCCCTCCACTACGGCCCCCCTCCACCACAGCCCCCTCCACCACGGCCCCCCCTCCACACCTCCCTCTCACCACACCCCCACCACGGCCCCTCCATGGCCCCCCCTCCACCACGGCCCCCCTCCACCACGGCCCCCCTCTACCACAGATTCTAGGAAGGGAGCACTTCCTCTCCACCTCAGAGACCTTCTGGTCCCTGGTATGGAGGATCCTCATCTCCACCATCTGGCCCATGAGTTCTGAGATTAAAGGATAGTGAGAGAAAGATCTCAGAATAGACCCAGACGTCAGAGTGAGGCAGGGAACGGGAGGGAAGGGTAGACAATCGGAGCCAAACAACCTGAGCAACTTATAGTCACTAGTCCATCCAGATCTTATCTTCCTACCCAAGGACACTCGAGAGCAAATGGTTCACACCTCTCCTCCCCAACCAGAGATCAAATAGCGTAAATCACCCTGGTCAGGGAGACAAATAACAGAGACCCAGTTGGTGCCATCTGTGCCAGCCAAACCCAAGGACAGATGGAGTCAGGGGGACAAGTGACAACAAACCCGGTTGGAACCAAACGAACCCAAGCTGGAGGGAAAGGTGAGCAGCAACTGCACCTGGCCCCTGTCCGTGCTCACTTGGAGCATCGGTACCTGAAGAGCACACCTGGGAGCTGATGCCGCTGTGCTGAGACCTGCCCGGGCCTCCCCTGGGGCTCCTGCCTGCAGAAAAGAGAACCCTCGAAACGAGGCGCCAGCACACGCTCCCTGGAGCAGGCCCATGCTCTCCTCTTCCCGGTGCGGACCTTTCTCCGAAACTCCAAGGGTCCCCGCAAGACTTGCACCCAGCGGAGCAGTGGCGGCTGGTCCCGGGCTAGCCCTGAACCTCCCTCCGAGGCCCCCTTTGCGCGGACCTCAGGAGCTGAAAG